GTGATGAAGTCAGTGAAAGGAGACTTGTGACGTAATGGCGTCAATTACGCCACCCATGATTGAACCACGGCACGTAACTGCGTTGTATGACGTCACATTGCGCGGAACATCACCTCGTTGTATGACGTCACATTGCGTGGGACGTCATTTGGTTGTGCGATGTCATATGGAATGAAGACACTCAATCTTGATGCTATGTGATGAAGTCAGACTTCATCTTGTCTAAGGGGAACTATCACGAGAAAGCCCCAAGCCATCACGACTATATAGCACTTGGAAGGGATCAGGATGTAAGTACTTGGGATGGGACGGGGGGAAGGAATGGTGCCCAACCACTTGTGGACGGTCGGGGATTGAACGCCGACCTGCATGAAGCGAGACCGTCGCTCTACCGTCCAGCTCGATGGAACGAACATTTTTGCTCATGACTGACGAAGTCGAAGGAGTGTTGTGTCAAGCGGCTGGAGTTTTGTGGAGTACTCTAGACCACAATCTGGTTTTCTGACTCTTCCTCTGGTCTCCTGACTCTCCCTCTGGTCTCCTGACTCTCCCTCTGGTCTCCTGACTCTCCCTCTGGTCTCCTGACTCTCCCTCTGGTCTCCTGACTCTCCCTCTGGTCTCCTGACTCTCCCTCTGGTCTCCTGACTCTCCTCTCGGTCTCCTGACTCTCCCTCTGGTCTCCTGACTCTCTCTCCCTCTGGTCTCCTGACTCTCCCTCTGGCCGCCTGACTCTCCCTCTGGTCTCCTGACTCTCCCTCTGGTCGCCTGACTATTCCTCTGGCCGCCTGACTATCCCTCTGGCCGGCTGACTCTGCATCTATCCGTCTGACTCTCCAACTGGCCATATTCTCACGGTGTGGGAAAGTAAAGAATTCTGTGTGGAGCTGGATATAAATATATTCCCTGTCTCCCCCTGCATGTGGACGCATTATCTCTGTGCGTGTGTCTACCTGCATCTACCTGTGTCTACCTGTGTCTACCTGTGTCTACCTGAGAGGGAAGGTAGATGTGTGTCTATCGAGGCGAGGTCGAAGGTTGACAAGGAAGCGTCATTCCCTCCTACGAGAGTATAAATAATTGCGTACTTATATCTTGGTGGCCATGAAGGTGATAGACTCAGGGATGGACTCATGTTCCGCACACACTTGTGTATCATAACTCACCTTCAATGCATCTTCGTATGTTCCATCGTGGTGGATTTTTATTCCATTCTTCTAGTTCTTTATTTTTGGTTCGTCTATGTTCTTTCATTCTTATTCTATTTCTTGCCTCTCCTTTCTCTTATTCCGGGAAATCTTCTCCCATATTCTCGTTCGTTCACTGTTTATTGCCCTGTTCGTCTTTTTCCTGCTTTCCGTCTTCTTCAGGATTATTCCTTATCATCATCATCATCATCCCTTATCATCATCATCATCCCTGTATTCTCTTTGTCTCATTCTTATCTTCTATGACCCACCTTCCTTACACCTTTCTCTCTTTCTCTCACACATCCTCTTCTACCTTTTTCTTAACCCTCTTACCCACTTCTTTCTCCAACTAATCCCTCTCTCTTTCCTCATAATCTCTCCCCTTCCCTCCCATTTCAGCCATCTCCCCATCTCACCTTTCCTCCCTCCGATACCGTTCTACCTCCCTTCCCCTCCCTATCACCACCCCCTACCGCTGCCCCCCTCTCTATCACCACCCCTACCGCTGCCCCCCTCTCCCTTGATGGTGTGCCCCGACGCCCCCTTCCGACCTCCCGTTGCCTGATGGGTCGCCGTCAGTCCGAGGTCTGCCTCTCGTCTCGCGTCACTCACTCTCTGACGTGAGGAAATTAACACCCACGCTTGTACGATCCTCTTGATAAGCTGATAACCGGCCAGCGGTGGTGGTAGTGGTGGTGGTGGTGGTGGTGGTAGTGATGGTGGTAATAGTGATGGTGGTGATGGTGGTGGTAGTGGTAGTGGTGGAGGTGGTAGTAGTGATGATAATGTCAAAAGTTGTTCGAATCTATTAATAAAGTCTACGGGCCAGCCACGCCATGTTTAACTAACTCTGTAAATCTTAACAGAAATATATAGCATTAAGTCTGTTTTCACTGAAAAGGAGGACCAGTAGTTTATAGTGACATTTATAGTGACAGGTGGTGATGGCAACGGGTGGTGATAGTGACAGGTGATGAGAGGGTGTGACGGTGATGACAGAGTGTGATGATAACAGGTCATGGTGCTAACTGGAGAAGGTAATGGGTAATGATAACGGTATTAATAAACGGTGGGGGATGATAACGGGTGCAAATGATAACGGGAGGGGATGATAACGAATGGTGATATAGTGACAGGTTGGAATGCTGAAGGGCTGAGTGTTTCAAAAACCCATAATTATAAATGTATGTAAGAGGATTCTAATGTCTTCATAATATAGGCAAAAATACACACACATTCGTCGAAATACACACCCACAAACACTAATGTATACATACACAACACGAAGACAAAAAAGCACATTTACGCTTATTCAAGCAAACACAAACATGCAACAAATTAAAAATACTAAACCATCACCTTGCGTTTGATCCCGAAGATCAACGTCTCGGCGGCCCGGTCTCTGATCAGTTCTCATGCAATACACACACACACACATACACACACCACACACACACACACACACACACACACACACCACACACACACACACCACACACACACACCACACACACACACAGGCGATAGCACATTTCTCCCTGCTCCCTAGGCGTCATTATGTAAGATTTGCCAAGTTGTAATATAAGATTAGAGGTGCCATCCCACGTGTTGTGTGTGTGTGTGTGTGTGTGTGTGTGTGTGTGTTGTGTTGTGTGTGTTGTGTTGTGTGGTGTTTTGTTTTTGACTGTTGTATTCCAGCCACCAACGTACCCAAACACGTGTTTTTAATAGCACTCATCTCTCTCCTCCCCCCTGCCTCACTCCCCCCCCTCTCTCCCGATAAACAGTGAATTCCCTAC